ATGCTCAGGTCGGGCGTCTAGACACAGAAGAGAGTCGTTTAGGTGGCCGATGGGGACTCGTTGGTCGCAGGTCAGATAACGGGGACCGTCTACTGCAACTTTGCACAGACCACAACCTGTTTCTGGCTAGCACTAACTTTCGGCACAGTCATCGCCTATGTGCCGCCTGGCGTCCTCCCTCTGCATCTCAAGCCTGGACTCAGATTGATCACATCGCGATCAGCTACCGCTGGCGTGGTTGTGTACAAGACTGCCGCTTCTTTTGGAGTACCTATCTGGACTCTGACCATGCCTTGGTCTGCGCCAATCTTGCCTTACTTTTCAGTGGCCAACGAAGTGACCACCATCAAAGGATTGATGTCAGCAAGTTGGTTGCAACTTCTGTTGCAAGTAAGTATCGAACCGAGCTAGCCTCTAGGCTAGCTACCACTCCACCGAAAAGTATAGATGAGCATTGGTTGCAATTGCATGACGCCATGAAAATGGCGGGAACAGTCAGTTGTGGGTTTGCGAAACGTCCCGCTTTAAAGCACTGGGTGTCTTCTGGTTCCTTACAACTCATTGAAGCCCGTCGGTCTACTCCGGGTGACCGTGAGTTTGACCATAAACGAAGGATGTTACGTAAGGAAATTGGGCAAAGCTTGCGTAAGGACCGAGAAGCCTGGTGGTCGAAGCGTGCTAATGAGCTGGAAGCAGCAGCTGCATCTGGTAACTACCGGAAGCTCTTCCAGCTCATCCGAGCCACTGGCATCAAGAAGTCTGGTGTGAGTGAAACAATCTGCGAGGATGATGGGATGCCAATCACTAACATCCATCGACGTCTTGGACGATGGGCAGAATTTTTCGAAGGGCAGTTCAACTGGCCTGCTGCTCCGGCAACATCGGTCAAACTGTCCTGCCCTCCATGGCCGGTGACGACTGATCCACCAAATGAGGAGGAAGTCCGCAAGGAACTCCAACTCTTGAAGCGTTACAAATCACCTGGCCCAGATGACTTACCTCCGGCTCTTTTTAAAGATGGTGGTGACATTTTGACTAAGGAATTGACGACGTTGTTTACAAAGGTTTGGGAACTAGAGAGTGTACCAACGTCATGGAATGAGTCGATAGTTGTCCCTATCTTTAAAAAGGGTTCACGTCGTTCCTGTAACAACTATCGGGGAATAAGTTTACTTCCGATTGCGTCCAAGCTATTGGCTTGCATCATACTTCGTAGGTTGTTCAAAACCCGAGAAAGATTGACTCGCGAGGAGCAGGCTGGGTTTCGTTCCGGTCGAGGATGTATTGATCATATCTTCATCCTCCGCCAAATGTTAGAACACCGCCATACTTATCAAAGGCCAACAATCGTAGTGTTTCTTGACATCAGGGCTGCCTTCGATTCGTTGGACAGGACTGTTCTCTGGGATTGTCTATTGAAGAAGGGTGTGCCTGAGAAGTTTATTAACATCCTGAAAGCCCTATATAAAAACACCTCAGGCAGAGTGAGGGCATACAACCACCTCTCTCCATTGTTCCATTCGAGCAGTGGGGTGAGACAGGGTTGCCCAATCTCACCACTCCTCTTCAACTTTGCCATCGATGACATTCTGGAAACAGCTCTGATGAATGTAAGTAATGGTGGTGTGGATCTGTTGCCTGGAGAAAGACTTCTCGACCTTGAATATGCGGACGATATTGTCTTACTGTGCGATAATGCCCAAGGCATGCAATCCGCACTTAATCAGTTGACAATCAGTGTCCGTAGGTATGGTATGTGCTTTGCACCTTCCAAGTGCAAAGTACTTCTATAAGACTGGCAGGATTCCAATCCTGTACTCACCCTGGATGGTGAGCAGATAGACGTAGTCGAGAAGTTCGTGTATCTGGGTAGCTGCATAAGTGCTGGTGGGGGTGTCAGTGATGAGATCAATGCACGAATAGTGAAAGCCAGAGCGGCTTATGCCAATCTGGGCCACCTTTGGCGCCTTCGTGGTGTTAGTCTGGCTGTGAAAGGTCGGATCTACAACGCGTCGTTGAGAGCAGTTTTGCTCTATGCTTGTGAAACCTGGTCTCTCCGAGTTGAGGACGTTAGACGACTCTCTGTGTTCGATCATCGCTGTCTCCGAAGGATTGCTGACATTCAGTGGCAATACCATGTCAGTAATGCAGAGGTTCGGCATCGTGTGTTCGGGCACAGAGATGATAATTCAATTGGTGTCACCATCTTGAAACACCGACTTCGGTGGCTTGGACATGTTCCACGAATGTCGTCCCAGAGAATTCCACGTCGTGCATTATTTGTGGACTCTGAGACTGGTTGGAAAAAGCGGAGGTGATCAGTGCATGAAAGAAATCTGCAAGGGGCTGGCTTCTGTCGGTCGTCCACGACTCCCTGGTTGGGGTCTGAGAGATGGTGCTACACAGTGGCTAAAGATTTTATCAGATATGGCTCAGAATAGAAGCCGGTGGCGATCCTGCTGTAATGTTCTTTTACTTTCTTCATAAAAGGTGCTTGTGTCTTCCTTAACTGAAAGATTTCTTCTGATTGTGCCTTTCCGTCCCCCCATTTTCACCATTATTATCATTACATCACCTTACATCAATCTCTTCGTTATTATTCTCTTTTTTCCTTGCCCTTAAATTCTCATTGTTTTGTGTGGCGCATATATATTTGGCGCATTCTTGTACCAATATTTATGTGTTCAAATAAATAATCTTTTGAACAAATCTGTACGTGGTGTATCCAGAAAGGAGAGAATAAAATTCATTTGTTGTGATTGGTAATTTTCTCGCATGCTTTATCAACTTCCTTACTTATTTGATTAATTGAACAATTATTGGTTGGATAGCTAGGTGGTTATATTCGTTTGGTTAGTAATATACATTTATATTTCTAATTAAATCTAGAACCGTCATTTACCTAATCACATTATTTTTATTTCAACTAGGCAATAGTACCTATCTAAACTACCTAGATAGTTATTCTTCGGTCCAAATCTTAGTTTGGATTCTACACAGAGTATCACTAGAAAAAATAATAACATTGTAGCTCATTTCCTTACATTTTTATCAGAATAGATGCCTATAGTTTACTAAAAAAATTAAGCATTTACAGGTAAATCTATCTCACTTTCCTATGGAACTTTTAAAGAACTAATACTAGATCTTGTCACAGGAGAAAATTTTGAATGTCGTGAAAGAGAAAAATTTCATAAAATATTCGTTCGAAGAACAAGAAGGTTAAAAGTTTATTCTCATCTTGCAGAATCAACTCTACAAACGTAATTTCGGTGACCACGTTCTTACACAGTTGTTTAATCGATTGATTTCGGGGATTTACATACTAAATCTGAAAAATAGCTCACACAAATACCAAAATGTTCCTTCCAAGTGGCTAGCACTGCGTCTACTCGCTATGGGGCAATGCATGAAAATGGATGCTGACAAGATAATTTCTCAATATCGAGGACCTCGAGATATTTGTCTCAACCCTTCGCAAGTCTAGAAGATCGTACGACGAAAAACTTGTTAAGGACACTATGGAACACCCTAAACCCTTATATTCGTAACTAAACCAAAGGACCAAGAAAAGGGAATATATCCAAGCATTATGGGAAGAATGTAATTCTGCATTATTAGTGGAGAACGATTATGGTAAACCTCGAGTGTTCTCAACTTACTTTGGTAATTTGTATACCGTAAAGATGCTCTCTCTCTCTCGGTCCATACAAACCCTAAACTCACACTCTGAACATTGTGATCATTATAGAAATTTCTTCTCAATTAGTTTTCCATCATGGCTTTACACTAATATATAAAGAAGATTAATCATAATCAAAGTAATTATTCAATAATCAGGAAGTTGCCTCGTTGCATAATATATAAAAGAGAAAAAGGAACAGAATATTTTAATGATTGGTCAGTTGAATAGTAGTTATGTAAGAATCAAAAGATCAGTGTTGAGTTTACAAAGTTCAAAAAACTAACTAAATGGAAGAAGTACGAGAAACAGTTCTGCTGCAAGCATTCTTATACCGATGGCCAAGGTAGAGAAAGTGGTTGTAGAAGTTTTTTTTGAATGCAAAGATTAGTTTTGTGAACATGGATTACGATGGTTTCCGCAATGTGCAAAAGGCGTATTCGTATACCGTGTGGTAAATTTGATGGAATATGGTAGATAACTTTAAAAGCTTTATTCAGTTCAACTTGATGACCTGTGTCAACCAAGTGAGCGAGAATAGAACTTTTAATCACTTTTACCTGTTCTTTGCTTAACCACGACGGATGGTGCTCTGTTATACGAACTTGCCGAATTTTACGTCCCATATAACAGACTCTACAGGAGCAGTTGGATCGATAAATACACATGGATTTGGCGAACTCAGGCAATCTGTCTTTATTGGTCGTTCTTATTGTGAGGTGGTTGTAAAAGATAGCATTTAGTCTGGCTGCATTAAATGCTTTTTCTACAGCTTATCTTAATCTCCGAGTCACATTTTCTTCAGTAGTGTCATTTACGAATTGATGTTCGAGGTTTATGTCGAGGTATGAGCGGAGAGAGCGAACAGAGTAAGCGATCAGTCGGGCCTAGTGAGCGGAAACGTTTGGCACTCGATACTAGGTGTCGGACTACTTTTGTCCACACCCCTCCTATAGGGTCAAGTCTTCAAGAAAGGCACGCGAGAACTTCCCTTACCTATCAGATCTCCACAATTTAGGGTCCCCCTAATGGATTAGAATCACAGGACAGCTTCTTGGTGTGCATCAAACATCATAAATGTTTTCTAACCTTAAGGGCTTCAGTACGAAGCTCTCCACACTCATACTCTATTCGAAATCGCTGAGGGATAACGATACAAACCAGTCTTCAAACATTAACTAAGATAGCATATAGAAAACAATTTCTTAGAAGATTGCATCTTTAATTGTGTTACCACTTTTTTTTATCTAGTGGGCCTGTACTATTTGGGATAAAAAGTATCAAAACAGAAACTGGGAAAAAGTATTAAAATTGTTATTCATGTACAAAGAGAAAGTTCTTCGAACATTAGTGAACAGGAGAGACATAAGTCTTTGTCAATAATTCCAGTAACTGTTTTCTTATTAAAAGAATCAGGATTAGATAAAGAGGAAGAATGTATCATAGATTTTGTAGCCAACTTGTCAGGATCATTAGAAGAGTCAGTATTGGATACAGGAAACTAAAATAGAGAAGAAAAACATAAATCCTTAACAAATACATAAATGATTAACAAGTTACAGCAAATAAACAACAAATACACACTAGGACGAAACGGCCGTCCAGTGCTTCCAGGTGTTCCATGGTGATCTAGCTTCAATTGACTCATGATCTCAACTGTTGAAATACAAAATAATATATTTAATACAGTACAACAGGGTTTTAGGTGAACTAACACAAACTTGACCTAATGCTATCAACCATTTTTAAGTCACTTAAAGCATTCACTTTAAGTAGTTCAGTGAGCAAAGTAATAACACAGTGTAGGATAAGAATGCCAAATTAGTTGTCGGATATTTGATCAACAAATTACATACCCCTTCAATCAGTGATCTCAAATAAGATTTTTAAAAAACAAAAATCACATAAGTTTACGGATGACATTCTTATTGACGTCGATTCATACAATTTATAACACCGGTTCCTTCTTTGTATCCGTACGGTTTCTTATATAGTTTATGCTCAATGACAAGTAATTTACAATTATATGCTAAAACTGAAAGCACATGAAATACTCACCACTCAACTGAAATACTCAATATATGATTCTACTAGTCTTACGTAGATAAAAGTAGACAGCAATGAGTTACATAATCAATATGAAGATTGATGACGATACCACAATGATACGTGTGTGTGGGGGGTATGCTACTGATGTCGACAGACATAAGTAGTATGTAACACCAATCTGAAGTGGAATGACTGTTAAAAGAAGATTGAACTGAAGAGAACGGAAGGGAAATTGAGGGTTAAAAGAATCATGGACGATGTATAGGACAATTGATAGGAGACTTGTAAATAAAGTATTTAATGTATGGTTTTACATTTTGTATTCAATGATAAATTGGTTCCCTCCATCTGGGTTCTCTTCACCATACATTTACATAAGAAATAGATTTTAACAGCAAGTAGCTAATTAGTTCAAGTTACTAAGGAGGCACCATTTATTTATTTATTTATTTTAACACATAGATATTGGTACAAGTAGGCACCAAATACACATGCACCACACAAATCTCATTCGATATGTGTGAGGGCTGTAATACTGCCCGGGTGCCCAAACCGAAGCATGTGGTTTTATTAGGGGGTTACACCCGGAGCCTTCGACTTGAAGGTCTGATCCACAAGGTAGTGGAGCAACGTCAGGAGATGCATTCCTATGGTAGACGGTGACCAACAACTGGTTCATACGCCATTTGTTCCCTCAAAATCCTGGAGCCCATGTGCACCATTGGTTTGGAATCAGGATTTTCCAACTCCCCTAAGTGGACTCTCTATGTCCACCAACCCGGTTAAAGCGCCGAACATTCGCTTTTCCTCCTCTCAGTTTCGTAAACAACAGTAATGTTGCGAGAAGCAGTGAGTAGGACTTCCCTGACAGAGGCTATATACGCGTGGCCATGTGAGAGCATTTGGAGAGGGAGAGACGACTCTCCCCACTCTCGACCGTACCAGGGCATTTGGGGTCTCACCCCCCCTGCCGAATTGTCAAGCGTCTAGGCGCAATGACCTCTATTGTTCTGTCATCACCAGCTGTTTCGTCGGCTCTGATTCATCAGTCCATTGAATCCACCTTTGTAGCTGGCTAGTGTTCAAGCACTTCTCTGTTACCTTTCTTGATGGTATGTGCAATAGAAACAAAGACGAGAAATGGAATGTATTGGGCTTATATTATAGAACTACTTCACTTAATAGTGAGTTCTTATAATAATCTTCGGTAGTTCACTGATTATTTTTATGTTGCTGCTAATTTCCTATCAACTGTCAAAGATTTTATCTAGGTTTTTTGAGAAATACATTCCGAACGATAATCCCACTATATATATTTACTTATTTTAGGGATAACGTCAAAACCATACTTCCCTATCTTTTTAGATTTTCTATTACTATTATGTGCTGATTGACTTAATTAACCTCATTTCACTTTGATGTTAAATGAATCATATTGTTGGAAATGTATGACGGAAAATCATATCTACGTAGCACGGTATAAGTTGACTAAATCCGGAGGTCAAGATTTTATTAGCTACGAACTACTTCACTGTCAAAGTATGAATTGACATAAACCGGTTTGAAGAAAACATTTTTTTATCACAGAAGATATGAACTGAATCTTAAACATTAAGAGATGGTCATTTAACGCGTTTGGAAGAAACCATGACCCGATCAACCGAAGGATCATCATTAATAACTGTTTAGAAATTGTTGATTAATTTTATACTAAAACGTCTGTTTTACTTGAATGATCAACATAATAATAAAAGACTTAATTCATATATTCAAACTACTTTTTGATGAACAGAAGAATACACTAATTACGCATTCATAATTTAGAAATGATTATGGATAATGTAGTCATTGATAAAACAGATACTATGTCATGCTTCTTCCAAATAAATTCACAGAAGTAATTCATCAACCTTAATAAAATCTTACCAAATTATATCCTTTTATAACAATACTAGTATGATGAATGCTATTCACAAAATCGCTTATGAGAAGTAGTTAGCGGAACGTGGCGTAGAAGTTACTACAGCACATAACCGAAGAGAAAAGTTCTAAGAAGTCAAGAGCACGGTGTATGCAGAATAATTTGGAGACCAGAAAAGAAGCAACGAAAAACTATTTAGAACCAACTTCGACTGCAGAACCCTCAACAGGAGACAAATAGAAGACTGGTGACTAGTGTAGGAGCAAGCCACTGACAGAAAGGATGTTTGATTGGCGAAATTACAGAATATTTATGCAATATGTACACCTAGTCTTTAGTCATCCATTTGCATCTTGTGTGTTCTGCAATCTAATTTGGTTCTAGACTGTCTTTTCTCTCAATCTTGTCAGTAACATTTAACACATTCACATACCCCTGTCGAATTATCGAGCCTCCAGGCGTACTGACCTCTGTTGTCCTGTCATCACCAGCTGTTTCATCGGCTCTGATTCATCAGTCCATTGAATCCACCTTTGGAGCTGGCTAGTGTTCAAGCACTTCTGTGTCACCTTTCTTGATGGTATGTGGAAACAAAGAACAGACGTAAAGAGATCCGAACAGCATGAAAGGAAGCAGCTCTTTTCAATAGGAGATCGAGTGAAATGTAGAGAATGAGAAGGGATAAGAGAAGGAGGACGTAGTTTACGAAAATCGCTGCCAAAGTGAGGGGGACCATATGTGTACAACACGAGGTGCCATCGGCTTACTCCTACACTAGGGGCCTTTTTTACAAAGTTAATAAAGGTTTCTCGAGATTATTTTAACTGACAAGTTATGTAGAGATTGGTTTGATTTTTTACGTTGTATTAGTTATAAATCGACCCCATGGAAATTGCCCCCAAATACCCTGGCATGACCGAGAGTGGGGTGGGCCCGCCCTCCCCCTCGAAATGCTCTTACACGGCCACGCGTATACAGCCTCTGTCAGGTAAGTCCTACTCACTGTCTTCTCGTGGTAGGGGTGTTGTTTACGAAAATGAGAGGACGAAAAGCAAATGTCCGGCGCTTTGACCGGATCCCAAACCAATGGTGTACATGGGCTCCAATATCCTGAAGGAACAAATGGCGTATGAACCAATCGTTGGTCACCGGCTACCATGCGACTGCATCTCCTCACGATCGTCCACTGCCTTGTGGATCAGATCTTTAGGTCAAAGGCTCGGGATGTGGCCCTTTAAGAAAACCACCTGCTTCGGTCTGGGCACCCGGGCAGTATCACAGCCCACACACATACAAATATGGTGTGGCGCATATATATTTGGTGCCTTCTTGTACCAATATTTATATGTTGAAATAAAATAAAATAAAAACCATGGAAATTATATTGTGATGAATGAAACTGACAGATTTAAGAATACTTCAATGTTTTCAGGAATAAAAAAATTTCATTTCAAGATTGAGAAGTGTATGAATTATATGAATCATATATGGTCACTAACTCATAGAACAATAAGAATTTCTAATATAATATGAAAAATATTGACAACCTACATGACAGAAACTACATGTAATTTGAGAGTCATTTTCCAGAACAATTTTCGAAGATGTTCTATATGGGGAAAAAAAGACATTACGATTAAAACAAATGAGTAAATCTTGAAAAGACATGCTATTTATCTATTTGATGACAAAAACGGATATATCTCGAAGATAGGGTTATTGACTTACTTACTCCCAGTGGAGCGAGCATAGGCCGCCAACCAGCATTCTCTAACCCACTATGTCCTGCCCCTTTCTTTTTAGTTCTATCCCCAGTCGTTATTCATTTTTCTCATGTCTGTCTCCATTTCTCGGCGTAATGTGTTCTTTGGTCTTCCTTTTCTCCTTTGGCCTTGAGAATTCCCAGTGAGGGCTTGCCTTATGACGCAGTTGAGTGCTTTCCTCAATGTGTGTCCTGTGCACTCCCAGTGTTTCTTTCTGATTTCTTCCTCCGCTGGAATCTAGTTTGTTCTCTCCTACAGCTGTTAATAAACACTTGTATCTTCTGAATGATGGCTTTCGTAGTTCTCCAAGTTTCCACCCCATACAGTAGAACTGCCTTGACATTTGTATTGGAAACTCCGTTGGAGCCCCTTGGGGGGCTACTGCCGGTCCCAAGTTTGGATAAAGGAGGAGGGTTGGGCATGGGGTTAGCGACCTTATCCCGTAGAAAACTAACTCGCTAAAAAAACGCTAGCCAGAATTACAACTACATAAATAGATGTAGTTTGATTAAACTGGAATCATTTAGTTGCCTAAATCATGAATAATGTAAACTTAAACGCTAGTAATTTATTGATTAGAATTTAAAAATGTAACAAGTTGAACATGATAGTTTACAGCTGTATAGTGTAAATCTGGTTACCATTTATGTTACTAATTCGTTCCACTGAATCAAACAGTAATCGTATTGTACGGAGTACTAGATTCTAGATACTAGAATCAATCACAATGGCATCGGTGTATACACTCTTTGTCTTCTCTTAAACTATGAGATTAAAATCGCTTCATGTCATTCTTTCCATTAACTAATTCTTTCTCACTATACTATGTCCTTATATACAATCTTCCTTTTATATATTACCACCACTGAATCGACTACTTCTATGAATTTGGTGTTCATCTTGTTGTACTGAGGTATGGCAACTTGGACAGATGCACATATGTGCTTGATCCTACGTGGTAGCTGACTGACTGACAAGATTTTTGGGATATGATTTTTACATACCAGTTAAGGTATGTTATTTCACTAAATTATTTTAATTACTCAATTAGATATTGTATAGTATATGAAACAAGAGAGACATAATAAATTTCCTTTGTATCATAAAGCTAATCACTTTATTTGCTCTTTTAAATTTACCTTGGAAACTTGAAATGTAAAACTCGATAACATTTGATTGACCATAAAGTCTACAGATAATACATGACATTAGTTACTACTTGGTGATTAATCACATCCATGTACAGTATAACAATATAAAACACAAGTGGATAAAGTGAACTAACCTAAGAATAGTTCCAGTAGTCGATGGGAATCCACCAGTTTGCAATGTAGCTAAGAAATCTTGAGTTAATCTTTCCAATGTATTGACATTAGGATTTTTAAGAACAATTGATGTTAATGGATCATTGGGTGTAACAAATTCCAAATGCATAAAATGAGCGTATAAAGTTATTTCTTTCGCCAGAAAATCACGTAATGGTCTAACAATTGTTATATCTTGGTATCGTTCATCTAAGAATGACTATAATAAATTAAAGAAAACGTTTTATTAGTCATTCGACTAAAAGTGACAAAGAACCAATGCAAACTTGCATCAAATCACACGCCAATAATGATCTATTGAACACTTATAACAGTGAAGTTAAATTTCACCCCATCACAGTTGCTAGGACGCGAGTTTAAAGTTCACAGTTTAGCAAGTTATCGATTTGGCTTGTAAACTATGATACCTCGCTTCGATTTACCGCTTGTTTTCATTGAGGAGCAATTTAAATTGTTGATTTAAGGGAATAAAAAGTGGGAAACGCGATATTACACAAACTACATGAAAAGATAAGATATAGACATTTATCAATCGGTTTATTTACTTTAGTCAACCAAAAGAGTTGCAACGGTAGACTAGCTTGAAAACGCTGTAGAGATATGTGCACAATAATCAGGTACGATTGTGATATTAAGGTAATGGGTGATGAATTTAAAATTTAAATCTCAGTACGAATACCGCGACTAACTGATATCCATATATGCCTAACTGCAGAGAATCAGAAAAGACGACACATCCCCCCATATCTTAACAAAACATAGAGTTAAAACAAGAAATGAGCATCAGTTATTTATCAGTAGTTTCCAAAATATTCGGTGTGGGAGATGAAACAAGAAATAAAGAACGATACTACAATAAGACAGGATACCACAAACTGGGAGTTGGGACTTTGTGTTCAATTTTGAATACATCGTAACAACAATACCTTGAAAATTACATTATTTGACACCGAGAAATGGTGATGTTCTAATAAAGCGATCCGATAAGGCTGCGGGTATCGCATCACTAAATCTGTATGACCATAAAATTTCCATGAATATATCTTGAATATAACTTGAGTACACACTTAAACCATATGATTTGTTCAGCCAAGGAATCCTTTTGACGAGCTTATTTTCGAAACTGTACAGCCGTATGTATTTATAATCTAAACGTAATACTGCAGACGATATTAACTGGCTAAACAGCCTCACTATGAATATCCTACACTAGCCATATATTATTACGCAAATTCATACACAAGTCACCTCGATAGACAAATCAGATACGGATACATTTATTTATCTACTTCTATGAAACTAAGTCCATCGGCCGTCTATCGTCTCCTGACGCATTCGAGAGCAACTCCCAGGGTGGAACAGTAAAGGACGAAATTCCATCATAAGTAACATCCCCTATTTTACAACAGCTGGTTGACTATGATCATAAGGTTTTGTGACCAACATTCAAGATTATTTACGAGGTCGAACCGAATCCACCAAGAGGTTTACTCACATATTTTTGTACTAAAAGAGCATTAGAGATATAACATGAGACTAAAAATATGTGTACAAAAATAGTTTGTAAGGTCGTTGGTGTCAGTTTGTAGCTGTATCTTGGTGTTTTGTTTTGTTGTAGCTGTATATTCAAGCATTAATCATCTCTTGCATGTCCTGTTGTCATTTGGGATCAGTTTAATGATTTAGTCTATATATATTAATTTATTTTACTCGTTATTAAAAACTACACCATAAATACTACTTACTAGAAACATGCACATACTAACAATTAATATCTATCTACCAAATCATATTTATAAAAATATACTGTTATACAGCTTTTGAAAATAAAATTGTCGAAGACGAAATTTTTGTTGAAAGAAACCAATAAACCAATTCAGTTTGAAGAAAGAGACCATTGAATTTGTATCTATTGGATCAACACAAGTCACTGGAGTTAATTGGTACATTTCCCAATTAACCAGACAATTCCACTACCTTAAAACTTAGTAGAATATTCAGTTTGGGGTTGTGGAGATTGTTGAATTCCATTGAAATTATCAATCGATCAATGTTAGACCAATATTCAAAACCTCGAGGCACTAGACGGCCGTTTCGTCCTAGTATGCGACTTCTCAGAAGTACGCATCTATGATCGCGGGTGTTAGCGGGACATAGACTGGATTAAAGCATGCTCAATGCACGATTGCTTTAGTGCACACTGATTGGCTAATTCTTACCCAATCAGCACTAGTCGATACTTGGAGAATACTCTAGAATCTTCTCATGTAAAAACTATAAATATACTAACGTCTTTCCTATTGTGCTTCTTACTTCCATCTAACCTTGTTATTTGGAATATAATCTCTTTCCTGTCCAACCGTGTTTTGATTTGGGGACTTGTCGAGTGAATCGGTGTCCGAGAATACTAAGCAATAGCAATAGCTGGGTCATAACCGTAAGAAAGAGATTATAACAGCGGGATTGTGATTTTCAATGGTAGTTTAACACTGATCGGTTCATGATTTCAATAGAATGTAATAGAACTATATTTTATTTTATTTAAACACATAAACATTGGTACAAGGGGGCACCAAATAGATATGCACCACATAAATCATTTGATTTGCTTGAGGGTTGAGATACTGTCCAGGTGCCCTAACCGAGACAGATAGTTTCCTTAGAAGGGGCCACACTCAGAACCTTTGACTTAAAGGTCTGATCCACAAGGCAATGGAGCAACGTCATGAGATGCAATCCCATGGTAGCAGGTGACCAACAATAGATCTATACGCCATCTGTCCCTTCAGGATCCTGGAGTCCATGTGCACTATTGGTTTGAAATCAAAGTTTTCCAACTCTCTTAGATAGATCCTGCATATCCATCAACCTGGTTAAAGTGCTGGACATTCACTTTTTGTCCTCTTAATTTCGTAAACAATAGTAATACCGCAAGAAGGCAGTGAGTAAGACTTCCTTGGCAGTGATTGTACACACTTGGCCAAGTGAGGGGCATTTGGAGAGGAAGAGCTGATTCTCTCCCCACTCTTGTCCGTACTAGGGCATTTGAGGGCAAAATGATAATGTACACTAAACAAACAATTGTCATTTAATGAACTTATTAATCAAAAAGGTAACAGTAGGAAAAACGTTATTATTATTATTATTATACTATAATCACTTACTGTTTGTATACTGCTATGATTTCCACGACCTTCTATAATTTCTAATAAATATTTCACTGTAACTCTATTACCACATTCACCTAAAACTAAATATTTACAATCAAGTTTTCTTGCACAATCAATTAATAAATTTAATCGATAATAATCATGAAATCGTTGTTGACTACTAAGTAATGAAGATGTCAATTTACTTTCCCATTTATTCATTTCTGAAACCTTTACAATCAATCAATCAATTCATAAATAAAAGAGAAAGAAATGAATTCAATTCAAGGAAGAATATCAATTTACTTCATTCATAGAAATATTATGATATTCATAATGACTATTCTTCATGTTATTTGTAATGAATTTCAAATGATCTTCTGAATCATATGGTTCTTTCAATGAAAGCGTAAAAGATAATATACAATTTATTCATATACCAATCAGATGAAATACTTTTGGGATCATCCTCCTAGTTCGTTTCTTCAGTCCATTATCATGATTATACTGAAAAATTACATTATCTATATTATTATAAAAAGGTAATCATTACTTGTATGATTAAGTTTAATAAAGTAGATGAATTTTGACCACCAGAATATGCTATAGCCATATTATTATTATTATTACTACTACTATTATTATTCATTTGAGTAGTTGTTAGTTTATATTTTCCAAATATCATATTGATTTTATGTAAACAATGATGAATAAAACATGATCTAATTTATAAAGATAAAAATTTAAATTACTTGCATAAAGATGGATCATCTTTTCTTATTAATACAGATGATTGTGATTGACATTTAATACAATAGGATAGTCTATTTGAATAAAAGTTCAATTTGATTGATTACCTTTCATTCTTTTTAATGATTGAATTGAATAGACAAGAACAATCTTCGTCTTCTTCTTGACTACACATTAGATGATGATTATGATAATTGTCTAGATGGACAACAAGTAACTACTACAATTGAATTTTACAAAGGATTGATATCTGAAAATGTAAAGTTTCAAATAGTAGATATAGAATATATACACAATATTACTACAATCTCCACAAAAACCCATCTGATATTAATCAACATATGCTCACTAGTGACTGGCTTCACGAGGTATATCCTGGAGTTCTAGTGAGAAGTAGTGACCAGTGGAGTTCAACCAGGTCTGTCGTGAGATAGTAACTCACTGAAGACAATGGTGATTGTGTCGCTCAATTTCGTGGATTAGTTGAAGTTAGACATTAACACCGTTGGATGCCGGCTCAGTGTTCTAATGGTTGAGTGCTCGGGCGCGAAACCAGTAGGTCCTGGGCTCGAATCTCGCAGGGGGCGAGATCGTGGATGCGCACTGCTGAGGAGTCCCACAATAGGACGAAACGGCCGTCCAGTGCTTCCAGGTTTTCCATGGTGGTCTAGCTTCAACTGACTCATGATCTTAACCATTGAAATTACATAACATATTTATTTATTTGAATACATAAATATTAGTACAAGAGGGCACCAAATAGATATGCCCTGCTTCGGTTTGGGCACCCGAGCAGTATCACAGCCCTCACACATATCAAATGAGATTTGTGTGGTGCATATGTATTTGGTGCCTCCTTGTACCAATATCTATGTGTTAAAATAAATAAAATAAAAAAATAGGTATGCGCCACACGAAACAATGAGAATTCGAAGAGAAAAGAAAAAGAAGAACAATGACGACCACAGATTAGTGTAAGGTAGTGTAATAATAATAATAATAATAATAATAATAATAATAATAATAATAATAATAATAATAATGGGGGAAACGGAAAGGTACAATCGGAAGAAATCTATCAGTGAAGGAAGAAACAATCATTCTTTTTTTAATGAAGTAAAAGGTTACAGCAGGATCGCCACTAGCTTCTATTCTGAGCCATATCTGATAACGTCTCTAGTCATTGTGTTGTACCATCTCCCTAGGACCCCAGCCAGGGAGTCGTAAAGGACAAACAGAAGCCATCCCTTTGTAGCTTTCTTTCATACCATGACACCATGTCATACACTGACCACCTCTCCGCTTTTTATAACCAGTCCAAGAGTCGGCAAATAATGCACGACGTGGAATTCTCTGGGACGAACAAATTTGATGAAATGTCGATATTTATTGAAAATACTTGTCTTGCTTCGATCAACACATGATATAATGTACAATTCATTAGGGAAAAAAAGAACTTTTATAGGTGTCAGGAGTATAGAATTGTTAAGAATGGAATTATGGTAGTAAGACTACAAAATAAACTATCTACCACTGATAATGATAATGTACAAATATACGCTTATCCGTAAGATGATGGTACATCAATACTAAGATAAAGAGTCAAAGTAATAGTAGTATCAATAATGGAGAGTATTGTTCAATGGAAATAAATGACGAGATATCTGAGAAGAAATATTAGAGCTCAATATCTAGTAAAAGATAAAAAACAAATACTTTCGAGCTGACTTCGGGTTACAAGTAGTGACCACAATTATCACACAGACCCCAACCAGTTAGTCTGCATTGATGTGTAGACATAAGAGTGGCTGTTTGATACACTTGCCTTTGATTTGTTGAACAGTCAGTCAGTCAGTCAGCTACAACAACCTTGTGATGATGGATTATAATCCAGAGGGTTATGTCTAGACTTATTGATATACCAGATGTCCTAATTAAACATGTTTTCATTGTTCTAAACCCTCAGTCAAATTAGACAAGATTGTTTAATGTAGGCACAATCATCAATAGTTTTCTAGAAACGGCTGTGCAAGAATTGGATGGTGATAGTATAGGTTAAGTACCGTATAAAAGCTACGCGACTCACAGCACGTAATTATCTTTTTATTACGCAATGAAATATAGGCTATCCACGTCGCAGTTGAAAGGTAAGAGATTGGCGTCCGTAATTACGGCATTTTCTTTGCACCATCTTTTACAAAACTACCAAGAATCTATGCTTAAATTCGCTCTGCGATGAGGTTTACGACCATAATTTGCGATTATCATTGGGACTCCAGACAAAAAGCATAAACTTAACAAGGCTTAGTCGCATAGTGAGTTATATTAAGGGTTAAATGGGTTTTCATTTACCCCATTCTATCCATTTTTCAACCTAATCCCATGCTAATTACCGTTACCGCCAGAAGTATCTGAAGTATGTTATGTATGATACCATCATCTTAAGTAGGTAGCTAGCTTAGTTGATTTATTGCACAGCCTGGCCTAATGAAGTTTATGGACACGAAATCTATCTGTTGTAGAGATGACCCATGATTAATTTTCAGATCATACATTAAGGACGATGGATACATCTTCAATATGTACGCATTCGGCTTTTTGAGTAAGACTGCTTTTATTGTTTCTACACAACCTCGTAGATATAAGCGTTCAAACTAAATGCCCCATACAAACCCTTAGTCAATATTATAATAAGTTTAGCAGCTAAAGGAAATAATTCACTTAGCCCCAAATTATTCAGTTTCCGAATATTCATCGATAACTTGAATGAGGCATTGATGTTAGCTTATCGTCTAACAGTAGAAGATTTTTAGTGACATCTTGGTATGAATCAATGACTTAGATGAACTTTATATTTTCCTATAAATCTTTGATATACAGTTAATGTCTATCCATTTTTCCCATTTATTCATTTCACTTCTAGGTTTTACCATCTTTGTACTTTTAAGGATATATTGCTTGTCCACTGCTGGATTAGGAGGCATTTTAACTACTTAATAGCTTTTACGACATTGTTTATCAAAAACGACATGATTTAGAAGTAAAATAGGGCGAAATGGTTGATTTTTAAATGGTGATTTTATGTGAAAGGTAATATCACAAAAATTTTTCCTTCTTTTCTTTATTCCAAATAAACTCCCAATCAAATCACTTAATTGTTGAGTCATTTAATAACAGTCGCTCCTAGATCATATAGATTGTTTAAAAACGCTGTGGATTTTATTCATGGTGTTCTTAGATTGTTGTTTCGAGACGTTTTACCGACTCTTAAGGATAGTTTGCATCAATATCATAAGAGCCATATGAAATAACTTTAACAAGCATTCCTGACCTATTTAATGATCCACGTATAAACTAATATTCCCACGAATGTATCTAGGGCAAAAGTAGTCTGCTTTAGGACAATAATACTCAACGGCTTTCTAAGTGCCTTCCGACAAGCAACTTCATCCTACTCGTTAAAGCTGTCACGTTTGGAATGTTCCTTTGAGATGTATTAGCGTCCTTGAGATGGAGCTCTAATTCGTGTTGATTTGCACTGCAACTGGACACGGAGTACTTAAGACCTTTTATTTGTGATTCTATCTGACGTTGAAACGCTGTGTCGTGCGTTTTGATTTGTTTGTAGAGGTCACTTTCAGGTTAATGGATTCCCTATTTTTAGCAGGTGACGATTTCGCAACTATGATGTCAAGCTTCAAAGCTAGATCGACAATGAAAACTACATGATCTATTGTACACGATAGACCAGAGTCTTCTGGATCACTCACGTCGTCAAAAAGCGCGAGTACAATTTTCAGCACCTTGATTGCATTTTGACAGATGGATTTTCATGAGCAACATACTTTGCACAAACATCGTGAAACCGATCTGCAACACAATTTATTTGTGGTAGGAGTTAGTCCAATCAGTGTTTTGTGGTACCATAAATTGCAGCCGTCACAATGTATTACATTCTTTAACTGGAAGCAACAGGTTGGTCAACCACAACTACCATTTGTTCTTACCATTTATATGAAGAGACTTCCTAGAAACGTATACACAAACAAAAAGGACACTAGGAGACACAACCTTTTGTAAGGCGAAAGAAGAACAAGTACATAGACGTATGGGAAGTCTTGTGACTTGATTGGCACACTCACTGATCAGGTTGAGTCCGTTCGAAATATATCACCACTGTTCAATGTCATGAGGCAGCTTAACTTCTGCAAACTAAGCTATTAGTTCAAAGACATCGTGAACTATAGTTAAAAATTCTGAGTTGCTTGTGTACGAGTCAGGATACTTCTTGAGTGACTCCCCAACTAACCACATACTGCTTGGTTTTATTCTGATGATCGATTTTTTTAATCATGAGGCGGTCTGGATCAACGTCCTGCGATTTGCTTTGGATTTACATGTGTATGTCGACCATGACTGTGCGCATGGGCTTAGGGTTGAGTAACACCTTCAAGGTCGGGTGAACAAGTTGTGTAGAGATCGGGTTGTTACTGCTTGCAACTTCACAGGGCAGAGGTACCAGTTGAGTTTACTTCTGAACCTGTCTGAAACTTAGGGGACTTGATACATAGAGAACATTTAATGAGGCTATGGCTCTTTCACGAAATTTCAAAAGACCAGTTTTTTTAACTACGCCTGGAGCTTCTCTGGGACTACTGCCGGTCCCAAGCTTGGATAAAGGAGGAGGGTTGGGCATAGGGTTAGCGACCCCATCCCGTAGAAAACTAACTCGCTAAAAAACGCTAACCAGTAAGTAACTGTTTTTATGCCATTGCTACCGGTTGCTGGTTAGAAAATTTTAGTCTGTGTAAATCTGTTTTATTGCGGGATGTAGATTCGATAAGCTGAGCATTATTAATCTGGAGTTTACGGTTATTTTGTTGTCTTTTCTCTTGGATTCGGTAGTTTTAAACTAAGAGGTTTGGGAGTGTTTATCAACTTTGCAAACGAATGTCTGTGTCGGTGAATCAGATCCCATTAAATAGAGCCGGATTTGGTTTTGCAATATGAGGATAGCTACCAGTACCCATTGAAAGGGTTTTTAACTAACATCTTGCAGCATCCAAGAGCCTTAAAGGGACTGCAGGAGCAGGAACCTTTCGTAAAGATGAGGCTTTTTTGATACTTCAACTGAATACGAGACAAAATTCATGATGAACATCGGGCCATTTAACA